TTCAAGCATTTAGAAAGAGTGGAGATACAGCAATTACCTCTGCAAGGGAGCAAGTGTCTTCGAACTATGAAGGCTCCTCTCTCTCATCTTTAGTAAGAGGGGAACTCCCTTCTTGAAATATTCTACTATAAGTGTTGCCATGTAGGCCCTTGCTATTATCCCTGATATGCAGAGTGGCTAACACTAATATGTTGATCCTAGATGCTATGGGTTAAATGTGTCCCCCAAAAGTTCATGTATTGAAAACTAGATCTCCACTGTAATGGTGTTAAGAGGATGCAAAATCTAAGTATAGTATTTGAAAAATGGGTCCTTTAAGAAGTGATTAGATTGTAGGACTGTGACCTTGTGAATAGATTGATCCATTCATGGAGTAATGGGTGTGGTTCTGATGGCTTTCTAAAGAGAGTAAGTAAGAAAGTTAGCTTTCTCTTGCTCAGCCCATTCTTGCCATGTGATACCCTCACTGCTGTGGAGAGTCACCACCAAGAAAAAGGCCTCCACCAAATGTGCCCCCTGGGCCAGGACTTCCCAGCCTCCAAAACTGTAAGAAATCAATTTTGTTCCTTTACAATTACCTAGTTTCAGGTATTCTGTTATATGCATCAGAAAGGGACTAATCCACTAGGTATAATTGCTACAAAAGCTTCGCTACCCCATCCTCTGGCCATAGACTTTATGAATATGCAGGTTAAGCAATCTTCATATGTGGATGCTGACAAGAACCTGTGACTACCACTGGGATTTAAGACTCACAATTCATGCACTCATGCTCTGTATCAACCAACCAAAGTCAACTTGCAGGCAGAAAGAAGAATGAAGCAGATACACAAAGAGCAGTGTAGCAGAGAGAGAAGATACTATGGGTTTCTTCTGCAGTCCCTGTTTAGGCTGTCCCTGCAGTGTGTGCCACCATTTCCTCATTACTACAATACATTTATCCGTAAATGTTTTCCAAAAGCTTTCAGTAATTTGTAATCCTTAAAGCCCTAACACAACTTAGAACCTAAACTCAAAATTATCAGATTCAAATCTCATTTGTGATCAGATCAGTACTGGAATTCATCTATTTATGCTTTTACTGGATGAATATTAAATGCTTAGCATTGTGCTAGATTCAGGGCATACAGTAAGCAAGGTAGATACATTCCTACCTCCCTGAAGACATAAAACCAATAATTATAGATATGAGATCCTTCCCACTCGGCTTCAAAAGAATGAAACAATAACACACTACTACATTCAAAACCTTGTTTAAGCATCCTGAGTATTCATCTGCTCTTGGCTGTGAAGAGTCACTGAAATGAAAGCTCTCTGCCCAGAACGCATTTCATTCTAAAGAGACAGATTTGGAAACATATGAAACATATTTATTAACTCAAAATATGAAAAAAAAATATGGTATGTATAAGTTTATTGTTAGAATGGAGTGGCTGCTTTTTAAAAAATTGCTTTATAGTTTCATTAGCTTTTACATCCTGCTATAGAAATGTCACTGAAATGGTTTTTACATGGTTGCTGGGCAAACTCAGATAAAAAACACAGTTCTACTATGTTAGCCAAGCCTCTATGGAAAAAGTATATTTTTCTTAAGTGTTGGGGAGAAAAGGTATTTCCAAACCCAGGAAGAAACTTGGGAAGTGATTTTGAGGCAAGAGATCATTGCAAAAATTTTCTCAGCCTAACTGGGTGAGACAAATAAGAAAATAGACTAGTTGCTTTTTATTTCCTTCTTAAGGGAACAAATGATTGTGTTCTCTGATATTTACTAACTTATGTTCACTAAGTATAATTCTACTGGGAAACTCAAGTACAGAACAGTCCAGGGATTTTCCTTACAGCATTGTACGTTAAGTCAACAGATGAGGCAGAACAAGAATTGGAGTTAGACCAGCACCACTTAGACTCTGCAGGGACCTTTGAGAATTATTTGGGCTTAGGATAGGGCTCCGGGAATGCTGATGGAAAAGTTTTCAATTTACCAAGGAGGTGGACTAGCAGAGTTTTGACAGCTGTAGTCCAGTCTTTGGGGTTCTAAATAGGCAATAATATGCAACATTGACTCAGACAGCCTGAAACTACCCTTGGTCTTATCTATTAGGTCCTCTTAAGATAGAAACCCTGAGGGATCTATCTTCCATTCTCTCTACCTGCAGGTAGTGAGGTGGAAAAGACAAGATATATTCCTTCCAAAGCTGCCCACAGAGATGTGAGGTCTGTTTATAAGCTGACAAATCCTCGAGTAATGATATCGATAATTGTATTGAGAGTTTGCTAGGACTGCACACCGTTTCAGTGCTTTTCATACACTGTTCATTTAGCTCTTATAAACGTATGAGGCAGGTAGTATAATTACCACCATTTATGGATGAGGAAACTAAAGCAAGGAGAGTTTGAGTAATCTGCCCATGGTCACAGCTAGGAAGTGGCAGAGCTAGAATTTGAACTCAGACCCTCTGGCTGCAAAGTGTATGATTTGAAAAATTATTTTGTCTCTCCTTAATAACAGTAGGCTGGTAGCAGCCAGTAAGTGTGGCCTACAGTAGGTGCTCAATGGACACTTATTGACTGACATTGGGCCTGTGGGGTGCTCTCCTCAATTTAGCAAAAGACTAACCCTAAAATGTGCAGTCAGATGTAGAAGGCTGGTCTTGCGTTTCTTTCTCCTTCCCTATTACAGTCGTGTCACATTACATTTCGGTCAATGGCAGACTGCATATATGATGGTGTTCAGAGCAATAGGCTGTACCATATAGTCTAGGTGTGTGTGTAGTGGGCTATACCATCTAGGTTTGTGTAAGTACATTCTAGGATGTTCACACAATGATGAAATCACCTAACAATGTGTTTCTTAGAATGTATTTCTGTGGTTAAGTGACACATACTGTATTTCTACTGGAGATGGAAACATTGTGGAGTTTGAGAAATGTTCTTAAACTTAGAACTAAAAAGTTCTTTTTGGGTCACCTATCTCTTTGAGAATCATATAAAAACTAATAACTCTCTCCACATAAAAAATGCTCACCCACAGAAATTTTTGCATAGTGTCTAGGATTGTTTAGATCTCTAGAACTTTCTAGGAATATCAATCAATAGTAGTTTCGGGAGAGTGACTGAACTTTGAATGTTGCTAGTTTTCCCTTTTAAGCAATTTATATGAATGCTTGATTCAGAGAAAATTGTTCACATTTTACTGAGGTAGTTGCTTTTGTTTTCTCCTTCAGGAGAAAGCTCTGTGCCAGTGTTACAGTTGGCTCTGGTCACTATCTGGCTGCCTGGTAACAGCACAGTTTGTGCATTCCATGGCAGGGCTCCAGAAAGGCAGAGTGCACCTCTGGGGAGCGGATGTGTGAGCCCCGGGTTTCTGACATGAGCATTACTGATGCCCTGTTGAAAGACCTCATTATGATTGTGGCAAGTTCTGGGAGAACAAAAGGACCATTTTCAGAACAGAGGGCTACATGTTATGGTTAATTGAATATTTTTTGATTATGATATTAAATTGGTTGAAGTATTGCTGCATGTCTTTTTCGACATGAGTTCACTTAGGCAGCTTTTCTTAATACACAACTAAGTAGCACATCCTCACACACTCACAAGCCTCCTTTATCCTGGTTATGGTGGATGACAGCTGCAAGCTGCCACCATCTTTGGGAAGACTTTACAGTCGTCTTGGTGGGGCAAAGGTGAAGAGTATAGGAAGAATGACATGGATTTCAATATCTTTTCCACATTTAAGATTCTCTCAAAAAGGATATAATTTGAATTAACATTAAGTCCTTCCATGAGATTACAGAAATGTAAACATGATTTATTACTAGAATCAATGTGTTTCAGTTCTCAGCTAAAGACCAGAGACATTCAGCAACTTTGGGTAATGGGTGGTTTCATTATCTCTGTGAAACCATGCCACATTTTCTTGGGCACTGTGATAGGATGAATGTAAAAAAACTTGATGAAGAGACAAAGACCTGGATTCAGTGCCAGTCCTGCCATTAACAACCTAAATGGTCTTCAACATTGAGCCTCATCTGCAAAAAAAGAGGGGGGTGAGCTGTAAGGTCCTTTTGAGCTCTGAAGTACTATTATTTTATGAAAAGACAAGACAGTTTTTTTTTTTGTGTGTGAGTAGATCCAAAGTGCTTGAATCTTACAGGTGAACTTGAAATCTGTGATCCTTGTTTCCTCAGTGAGGGCATGGGACCTCCAGGTGCGTCACAACATCTTGGATACACACAGGGGTTGTTCCACCGAGAAATGAAGCCAGTGCTTAGAATTTCTTTTGAATTTCTCTGAATTTTACCTTCAGAATCAAGAACAGAAGATTCTTGATTTATTTTGTGTTTGCAGTATGACAATAATTCAAGCAAAAGATGAGACCCATGTTTTTGAGTTTTCTCCTCTATATTTGGTCTAATTCCTTATTTTACTTTTTCTCATTATAATTGTTATTATTTTCTTTCATCTGGGAGGTCCTGGCAGGCACCTGGGCCAGTTGATTGTAAAATGGCCTAAGAGAAGCAACCTCAGTTAGCTGAATTATTTACTCACCATTTAAGCCACTTCATTTCCATGATCTTAATTTTCCTAAATATCAGCTTCCTGCATCATTGCCTGAAGGCATTCTAGGAGGCCTACAGCCATACGGAATGGAACATGTAGCAAAGAATATAAAAGGTAAAATAAAATAAACAAACTTTTATCGTATTTGTACTTTCAAAGGACAGGAGTAGGGGCCATACTGTATTTTGATGCCAACCTGTGCAGCACTAGGGGGAAAAGATGAGGGTATGTATGATGTTAATATACGTTGCAAACCTGAATGTCACATTAGATATTGGTGCTGTGGTTCAAAAACAAAATTATATAATCTTATCACAAAGTTTTAATATATTGGAGAAACGTTCATATGAAAAGCTATATAATGATAAATGTATTGTTTCTTCCTACAAGTTGGTGATGATTTTGTGGAACCTTTCTTTTAAGAATTAGGGTTTCTTTCACATTCTGGTCTCCTCTAGAGGGCGATTCATCAAGTCTTGAATAGCCTGATGCAAAGGAAGCCATTTTTTAATAGATGTATTCAAAGCTGTAATCCAGCTGTGGAAAAAATAGCAGAGAGCAAGTCATTAAACAAATTGTTGGACTCTGGGGAGGTGAAATGTTACAAAATCCTTTTATTTATTTCCTAATTGTTTCTCTTTGTTATGTACTTTGAAATTAATAGGATAAACCATGCTCCTTAGATTTTGGATTGAATAAAAAAGGAGAAATACCAAATGTGGAATATGCAGTGATAGCAACAAAGTATGCTAATGGAAATAATGCAATCAGAGCAGGATATGATGTTTGTAAATAGTGATTAATGGAACTATAGGGTTTTAAAATTGTTATTAATATTTATTGTTTTTATTTAACTTTAAACTTCAGTTGATCAGATATGTAGTAATCAAATATTGCCATAAGGATAAAATATTTCTTTATTAAATACAGGAAACAATAGAAAACTCTCCAACTAACTCTCCTCTCCTTTATCTTCCTTTCATTTTCTTGGATGATGATTTATAAAACATGCCCATATAACATTTATTCTAAGGGCAGTTAATAGGTGTTATTAAAGAAAAAAATCAATGACCAAAAACAGTTAACCAGGATTTTTTTCCAGCAGGATGTCTCAGAAACACTAAAAGGTTAATGTGTCTCATGATTCTCTGAGGGGAGAATATGATTTGCATCATTTCCTTTAAACTTTATTTTTTAAGAGTTGGGTATCTTGTGGAACCAAAGTTCCATACACTTTGTGATACTATGCTTTTATGCTTTGAAATATTTCTCTAATAACTCAACCTTGTTTCATATTGATAAAATGCACTTATGGATTTGTCAGTGAGATCTAATTATTCAACCTCCTCTCTTGGAGGAGTGGATTTTATCAGATGGGAGTTAACTCTCATTGGTCCTTTCTCTGATATACTAACTGGAGCCTCACTTTCAAGGGAACCATCTTAATCTGCCACCCAGACTGTACAGCACAAGCCCATGGAAGAAGATCCTGGCAAAATATCTAGCAATCCTATACTTATTATCCTCCTTCTCCAGCTCATCCTTAGGAATGAGTGGAACAGGCGAGCTTTATGCAATGGACGAAGGCCTAGAGAAATCCCTTCCCTCTCAAGGAGTCACTTGATAGACATTCCTGAAATCCCATTTTTGGAGTTTTATTTTTTTTTTTTTGGTTAAAAGAGTACATCTAGTTCTTGCAAATGTTCCTGGAAATATTACCCATGTCATCTGTTTTAATAGATTACTGTGAATTTCTTTATTAGATCCTTTCCCCCTCCAGACAGTTGGGAAAAAGGATCTGGATGAGGTGGAAGGTTGAGGGATGGGAAATGGGGGGGTGGGGGGTGGATGTCTTTGCGATTGGTGTTAGGTCAGGGAGGCTTGAAGGATGAAGAAGGATGCTCCAGAACATTTCTTCTGCCTCAAAGTTTTCTCTGTTAACTTTACTGTTCTGACTTTTTCAAAATCATTATGAACTAAGTGCCCATGTATGCATGCCACATGGGTCCTGAACATACCGTGAATTAGATAAGTAAGTCCTGTGTCCCTCAATGGCTTATAACAAAACCAAACTGACCAAATTTCTATGGACATATCAATAAGAGCTATGTGAAAAGAGGCAAAACAGCAAATCTGTGGATTAATAAATCACAGTATTTACAGATTATTGTGTTAGTGAATTTTTTTATGTTGAAGCCTGGGTCAGCCACTGCCTTGGGAAGAATTGTGGACTACTTTCCCATTTGACAAAAAATACTTCTAGAAAAGTAGAATGAATTGAAAGAAAAAAAAAATCCCGGCGAATATTAACTATAGAGGCTGCAAAAAAGGGAGGGATGTAACTAAAGATGTGGAGTTGGAGTTGGAAAATAAAGATAAGCGTTTGCTAAGAAGGCCTTGTCAGAACTGATAAAGAAGAAATATGAAGACCTTGACTTACCGCTGGTTTTCTGTTTTATTTTCTGCACAGAAATAGAAAGTCTTGAACTCTTCAGATGGAGGTTTGAGTTCAATCACCGATTGTTTCAAGCTAAGAGTCTGTTCACTCACCCTATATCCTTGCAGATATAGGCCACCTACAGAGGGTAAAAAACAAAAACAAAAACAAAAACAAACAGAAAAAAGAAGTAGGAATTGGAAAAAAGTAAAAAGAAAAGATGTCTGAAATGGTGTCAAGAAAATTTGTCTGAAAAAACCTCTAGAACCAGCTGTCTTAATTTACAGATGAAGAAACTGAGACTCCAAAGGAGTGTGTAATTTATGGTCACACACTAACAATTGGTGGCAAGACTGGTAACAGAATTTGGATTTCCTGGTTTCCATTTTTGCAATCCTCTTACTACATATTCAGCATTTAGCTTTGGGTTGCTGTTTGTCCAAACTAGCTTCTTTATCTGACGGACACATTTTGAAATAAAATTTTCAGTATCAAAGAGTGACATCTGCAATATCACATTAGAGGGAAATTAAATAATATTTGCCTCGCTAAAGCATCCTTCCTGAAGAATAATAAAAATTGCCAGCAGTTTCTACAGCCAACACAGATTCTCACCTTCTTTGTGCATATGCAAAGCACATTTAAAATATGAACCCACAGGGTGATATGAGAGAACCAACTTGAATTAACAATGAGAATAAATGACTGGTTTCAAAAGATAATTTCTTCCCAGTGGTCCTTTGAATCCCTGTAGTGGTTATATACTGCTTGGTCTGAATTTTCTTTCCATTATTTGGGGCTGGGGAGGAGGATCTCAGTCTCCGGGAAGGCTCTGAAAAATCAGAGCACTTGTCTGTTTTTTTGCAGTGTCCTGATGCTCTGAGGTAGTCTGGTCTCCTGCAGAAACTCCAGGTGATATCAGTAATAGTGATGATTAGACGTCTAAAGCTCTCTTGCTTTTGCTTGCTCTTGTTCTCAGCCCCCACCTCCCCCCAGGAGCCACTTTAGTGCACTACACTAATAAAAACAACGGGAAAAGACAGGTGGAGTTTTGCCATTGTACCTGCTAACTATTCTATGCTAATGTGTTAATAAGGGACTGCAAAGGAAAAATCCGGCTCCTTTGAATATGGATGACTTTCATTTTCCTTTAGGTTACATTTGGTAGCAACATACACTGTCAGGAGGACACACATTTTTCTTTTTAAACAATGGGTGAATTTTGGACTTTAAAAATTAGAGAAAAAAGTGCTTATTTTATGGGGGAGGGGTTAAGGATGCAATATTAAATTCTTTTTAAATTTTCATTTAAAAGAGTCTATTTTAAAACTAACTTCTGGGAAAGCATTAATTTTAGAAATAGGCAGATTTTTTTTTTCCTTTAGTAGGCCCCAGTAATATGGTATTTACCAAAACCAGATGGTGATTTCTTTTTGTGATGTATATATACATATACACATAAAGATATATACACATAAAGATATATAAAAATATTAACACAAAGATATATATTAATATTAGCATAAAGGTACATACATATCTTTATGTACATATATATATATATATATATATATATACACACTTCAGAAAGTTCATGGAAAAATAGAATTGAAAGATACTACGAATCTTTTCATAAACTTTTTGAAGTACCCTCTTATTGTTTTTTAACAGCTTTATTGAGATACAATTTACATATCATAAAGTTTACCCATTTAGAGTATACAACTCAATGATTTTAGTTTATTTATGGAGTTGTGCAACCATCACCATATTCTAATTTTAGAACATTTTCACCACCTCAGAAAGAAACCCATAACCATTGGCAGTCACCCCTCATCTGGTTTACCCATCCTAGCCCCAGGCAATCCTATCCACTTACTGTCTCTGTAGATTTGGGTTTTTTTCTGAGGCATTTAATATAAATGTAACCATACAGTATATGATCTTTTGTGACTGGCTTCTTTCACTTAGCATGATGTTTTCAAGGTTTATCCGTGTTGTATTATACATCAGTATTTCATTTCTTTTTATTGCCAAATGATATTCCATTGCATGGAATGACTGGCTTCTTTCACTTAGCATGATGTTTTCAAGGTTTATCCATGTTGTATTATACATCAGTATTTCATTTCTTTTTATTGCCAAATGATATTCCATTGCATGGAAATACATTCATTCATTAGTTAATGAACCTTTGTGTTTTCTCCAATATTTTGGCTACTGTGAATACTGTTGTTGTGAACATTCATATACATGTTTTTGCATAAAAGTATGTTTTTATTTCTTTGGGTATATACTACAAGTAGAATAAGCAATGTGCTAGACTATAGGATACCTTAACAGTATTTTGCTATCTTAATTCTCTGCTCCAAACAATCATACACAGCATTTATATGTTGCTGCACTGGTTTGTGGCTTCTTCATGCTTTTGAGATTTCCTTTTTTCATGTCTGAGAACATATGAATACCCTCCTTTATTCCTCCCATTTTGAAAATGAATAGAAGGTTTTGTCCAAAAGGTGTTTGAAAACAGGAAGGTTTTCTGGCCCTTTTTTTTCCTAACCAGTCCTAGGGTAGAAATGATTGGCAGTAAAGACATCCAATTATAACTCCATCACTTCATTTGAGGTGACCTCATGGGGCTGGTCTCTCTGTTATTAGGTAGCAGCAGTAATTAGCAAGCCAGCACAATGTTTAGACAGAGATTTCTTGCAAGAACTGTGCAAGCATTATGTGTTCCATTTGTTGCAATGATGTAAAATATATCTTTCTGAGAAGTGCACACAGACCTTGATGTGATTTATTCAAGAACAATAGTCAACAGTCACAATTTGTTACTTCCATCTTTTGCTGGAGAGAGATAAAGGGGAAAAATCAACTGTGTGGTGAATGACAAGTGGCTTCAGGTCTGTGCAGAGGCACTTGACTAAGGGGCTTCAGGAACACTCACACAACGGCTTCTTAATAATAGTAGGCACAGGCAAGTCAGCACTGCATATTGTTAAAGTACAAACACCTTCCTTGACACTAAGGAAAGCCTTCAGGGAACTGCTGAGGCTCTATCTCCAACTCCCATGTTACACATTAGAGGTATATTTATCTAGCTGAAAGTAAAATGTGGGATTAGTGTCTAAAATCGTTTTTACAGGAAAGCAGAGCTGTGTTGCTTCTCATCTCTTGCTCTTCCCACACATATTACTTTTATCTTTTCCCTGTATTCTCCTAGTATTTTCTGAGCATCTCAGGTGACTGTTACAAGAAATAAGTCATGCTGACAATACTATGATACCTTCAGAGATAGGAAATATTATATGAGGTCTCCCAGATCTCTAATGAAGAGCATAAAGCAATGGACTAAAATAAAAGAATAAGATAAAATAAGTAAAAATAAAACAGTAAAGCAACTGAGAAGACGCTACAGTCAGGGGACCAGGTCTCTATGAAGTAGTGACCACAGAAGTCCGGGTCTCGAGAACAAAAGGACTAGTGGCAGGCATATTACAAAGATAATTAAAAGAAAGGAACTGTCTTTAAATATTCTTAAGATTCTGAACATAAAACTGACCATTCGAATAAGCACATATGCAGAAACTAAGTGTTTTTATATATCAGTATTTTTCAAACATATCTATGGCTGTGATCCAAAGATGTAATATATACAAACCTCTGTGTTTTCATATTATTAGACCAATAGTTTTCTGAAACATTTTGATGTACCATATTTTCTATTCAATTAAATTCTATCCTGTTGTTTTTAAAATACTGGTCACAACCTACTACGTTGATTCCATGTCTCACTAATGGGGTCAAAGTCTGCATTTTGATAAATACTGATGGGAATGTAAATGGTAATGAAGGCCTTCTTCAAGGTTATGACCTTTGCAGGGCAGGAGAGCAAGGAACCAGACCGGGGTGGGATGTGTAAGAGCTAAACAGCTTGGACAATACAAGTAAAGCAGGAGTTATAGATCAGACCAGCATAAATGTCACTTACTTAGCATCACCTAGAAGAATTGAAAATGAGTGTTAGAATTCTGCATAATATTTATGAATGTAATAGTGATTCATATTCTATGCATATAAAAGGCTCAAGATAAACTGAGTATTTCAGTACCTGTAATACTCAGGGCATAGCATGTGTTCAGCCATTCTCAAAAAATTCCTCTGCCACCCTCACAACTCCTGTGGTTCTTATAACTAGTTCGCCTGAGTAGATCCTGGTTATTGCAGTCAGTGTGCTGATGTCCAGAGTGCAGAGATCAGACACATAGCATTACTGATGGAATGCTACTTTAAGAACACTAATTTCTGCCAGGGGCACTACACATAGCATTGCGACTAAGAATTTGAGCATAGGATTCAGATAACATTTGCTCACATTTTATCTCTAATCAATCTGGATAACCAGCAGCACATAAGCTAACTTCTCTAAGCCTGAGTTTCTCTTCTATGATGGGGTGATAACAATGGATATTAAGTAAAGATTAGATGTGGATAATGAACATAAAGTGCTTCTCCTAGTCTTTCACACACAGGAAGCATTCAATACTTGCTTACTGTCCCACTGCAATACACCTAAGCAGTATGGACCAGCCCTCTGAAAAAACGTGGCTCACTAGAACAGTGTTTTTAGAGGAAGTGAAAAGAGCATATTTCTTTTGAGAACTTTTCACAGGAGATTTGGATATGCTCCATCCTATCTGCATCACTGGCTCTGAGCCTCAGGTCATGATTCAAGTTAATATGTACAAGAACATTGGGCAGGACTCTTAAAAAAAAAAAAGATGTAGATCTCAATTTAAAATACAAATCTAGGGAAGAGTAGAGGACTTCAGAAGAGCTCCTACACAGCCACCTTAACCCTGAAGAAGGGTAGCAGCTGATCAGCCTTTGAGAGCCTCCATCTGGACCCAGCAACACCACATCCCACCCAGAGTGGGAGTGGGGAGGGGGTGGAGAAAAAGTTCACCTTCTGGACCAAGGTGAATGCTCAGACAAATGGTATTTTTTATTCAAGAAGATAGAATTATGTTAAAACAAAAATAACAGGCCTCTATTTTAGAACATGCCCTAGATATACATTTTCTGTTGGAATTTCAGTAAGGAAAATATTCTTTTAATCCATATTTGAGATCATTTGGGCTAGAAATTGAGGACTTGTAGAGATAGGAATATTCAAGAAGTAAGACTGGGAAAGAACAGATAGGTTTGGACTAAATATTTTTATTAATCACAAAATAATGTTTTCAAGAGAGGAATTTAGAAAGAGATAGAAATTAGATAACTTCTTATGCCCGGAAAGGTGTGATATGGGGGTGGAAAGGCCAGGCACGTGGTGGGCTGAGTTCTGGTGTTGCCTTTGAATTAGCTTTGCAATCTTCTAATCTATCTACACTATTAAATGAGGGACGACAAACAACTCAAACTCCATGGAACAATGGCCAGTTGAAGTCACTTGAATATTCATTCATGTTCACTCATTCATTCATTCATTGCGTATCCATAATATAGAGTCATCTCTGGAGCACATATGATCCCTTAGAAGAGATAGGATGGCCATCAAGAGATAAAATACAAGGTAGAGAGTGATAAGTGTCACAAGATATATAAGTTCAAAAAACGGGAGAAGTTTGTTCCTCTAGGACCCTCTGGGATTGCTTTATAGCAGAGACGTACAGCATTTAAATAAGTGTTTGAAGGACAGGTAGAATCCAGACAACTTGTATTGGGTGACCAGTAGGTAGGGGATGTTTCAAGAGAAGGAACTAGTACAAGAAAAGACATAGGGTCAGGAAAATGTTCAGGAGGTGGGGTGTGCTCAGGAAATAAAATGTGGCCCCGTTTGGGTGGAGTACAGGTGCTTTAACACAGAGTGGAAGATAAAGCCAGAAACAGGACTAAGTATAAGGCCCTAGAATGCTCTGGAGGCAACAAATAACTACTGAAAGTTCTGGAAAGAGGTGTGCAATAATAAGAGCTGAGCATAAACAAGCTTTCCATTTTTTTTCTACTTATCGATTTTTTCTTTTTGTTGGCATAACTTAGGCTACCTGGGTTTAAATTCTGTCTTCGCCATTTACTAGCCAGGGTAATTTGGGCAAATTATTTAACCTTGCTAAGCATCAGTTTCCAAAACTTAAGGTGGGAAAATAACCAACTCATAGTGTTATTGTAGAAATTAAATGAAATGATAAGGAAAAGCACTTAACAGAGTGCTTGGTACAAGTGCTGTACTCGCTAATGATAACTGCCTCTTTTGCAGGTATAGTTTTTAGGCTATTTAATAGAGCAGTTTCGTAGCTCTTTAACTGGGACTTTCTATTCAATTAGGACCTCCTTGGACCTTCTGGAATAAGGAAAGCCACCTAGAGACTGTCATTACTATTTTTAAATTCCTGGAATCAGTAGCACTCTTTGGGCTCCAGAAGTTTGGAAGCACTTGGTTAACATTTCAGTTTGGAGTAATCTGCACATTCAAACAGTCTCTAGAAAATTACCTTAATTGGTTTGATAATTAAAAAGGTTCAAACTTTTATAGTGATATTTTATATTAAAAGTCCCAGTCAATGACTTCTTTGGAGGTTTAATTGTTTTGTTTACCTTAATTTCCATCCTGGTATCAGCTTTTATAGCGATGGATTTTGGGGTTGAATAGGAACAGCCTGTTCGGTAAGTGCTTAGAGAGACTGTCTATGTCTTTGTAGTTGAATGATATTCTGAGTCATGGCTTAAAATGGGAAAGTGATTAAGTGGAGGAGAGTCACTGCACTCTTCATCCTGAGAGATGAAGAATGGACCACAGTGTGATGCTCACTCTGTACCTCTTATACACTTCCAAGAAGGTAGAAATTGTCACCGATGACTCCTTCCCATGTAAAATGTCTATCTAGCTTAATTAAACATGAGCATTGATGCTATAAAAAGAAAGAAATCAAAAGAACGAGATTCCAGGATGCTCACTACTGCTAATTATTTAAGGATTATTCATATGATGAAAAAATTCAACTGCAAATAAAACACCAATAATTTATTTTGTCCACAATTATAAAAAAGTTAAATAATCTGTTTTGTGGAAATCAGGTATAATTATTTTACTAAATCATATTGTTTATATGATCATTTTATATATATAGTTTCAAAATATTACATATAATTTAATAAATAGGTATAATAAAATAATTTAACAAATATATATATTTATATTTACAAATATATATAAAATAATATGATTTAATAAATATTTATAATAGAATAACAACATATACATGACAGAGCTTTTTATATAGAGAGCTTTATATAGAGAGCTAAAGTCACTTTAATTGCAATGACTCAATCTTCACAACAGTCCTGTGAAATAGATACCTATTATTCCCGTTTTATAAATGAAGAAACTAAGTTTTAGGAAGTTAAGCAACTTGCCTAAGGAAAATAGACAGTTAATGTTCTTTTTGTTACTCACTTGTCCAAATTAAGAATACTATGAAAAAAGAGTGGAGTCACTACCTACGAAATCTATTGGCATTGAATCTGAATGTCATCAATGACCATGACGGAGTACATTTTTCCCTTTTCCAAGAAGTAAAAGTGTGGGGTTAGAGTACAAGCTTTAGAGTTAGTCTGGCTGTGTTTAGATTTCACCTTCATTACTTGCTACACATGATCTTGTCAAGTTATGTAGACTTTGCAGCCAGTTTTCTAATCTGCAAAATGGGAACAGTAGTAGTACCTCTTCTCTGGAGGACTGATGAACGAATTTAGGTAAAGCACATAGCACAGGGCCTGGTATTCGCTCAATAAAGCCAAAAGGTCATTTCTAATATTACTGTAATGACTACTGAGTGACAATTGAGTCCATACCTGAGGCCTGGGTGGAGCGAATGCTAGCGTAGAAATACAAGCAACCGTCCTTCAGAATGCAGTAGCGCTGGACCCACATGTCTGTTCTTCCATCCAGCTGGTGCAGAAGGCCCAGGCACTCTGGATTCTTGATAGCCAGGGGTGGGAGACTACTGTTGTGCAGAGTAACATCTTCCCAGACATGATTCTGCAGGTGTGGCACAAAGGGATTATCTGATGATCATCCTGTGCCAAAGGTCATTGACTCACAGAGCCAGTGACATCAGCTCCAAGTCTGTTTGACTTTAGGGAAGCCACTGCCCTAAATGGTTCTATTGCTACGACAACCTGAATACTTGAGCAATTAGCCAGAAAACCTAAATTAATCCATTGTCCATATGGAGCCTCTCTTCTCCCTTTTTATGTCCATAGATGTCCTTTCTCTGGCTTCTATTCTATTCTGAGGAAATTAAAAAAAAAATCAACCAAAGTAAAGGGGGTCATGTATAGAAAGGAAATGGAAATAGGCACCTCAGCAAAGACAATTTCTCATGCTCTGTCCAAAAGGGCTGGGCCAGCTCTGCTATTTCACTCACCATTGGCATTGTCCTCCTAGCCCTGTTCTTGGTGTGTTCACTGTGACTAATAGCAGCCTCTGGTTCATGATTTTCTTTATCTGGATCTTCCATTTGCCTTAGGCTCTTATGGTCAGTGATGTGGAAGACAGATGATAAATCACAATCCTCAACCCTGGAGGACAGCCCTCAGCCCACAGCTTGGGGGACAGGCTCTTCCTGGGAACTCTGACCTGAGGCTGGGGGCACTGTGCTTTATCTCTTTATCAGAACTCACTGCCTGCACTTGCCAGTTTCTCTTCTTTGTTTGGTTTCTTTTCTGCTTTTTAGTTTTAACAAGGCAGTGCAAAAGATTTCAGAATGCAGAGCTTGCTGTATTCTTTGCTGGGAGGTGGGAGCCAGCTGGGAGTTTGGGTGTCCATTTATTCACTTTGCTGCAGACACTCTGAGTGCATTAGCAGGCTAGATACCTCCTAAAAATATTGAGGCTCATTAGGATGACACATTGGAGAAATGGATGTGTGTATTGCATGTTGTGTTCCAGGTATAATGAAACACAAGTCCTGCTGTTTGTCATATGGTGATGCTCACGATTATTCTGAAAGGGCAGTTACAGGGCACAGGGCAGTGCATTCAAGCTCAGACAATACAGATTTCTTCAAATGTACAAGAGCCAAAATATGGAGAGAAGATAATTGTTAGTAAATGACTTTTTCTTGTATGCCATTTTGTGAGGAAATGAGCATTTTTAAAGGAAATCTGCAACCTTATTAGAAATCAAATCCATAGCACAAAAATAAAACAATTAAGTGTTGAAACATTTTTTTCCCCAATAGGTTACTGCAAAAACTCAGGAAGAGGAGTATCACATGCCATAAGGCTGAAGTGATGACTCACCTGTTGATGTTATGAAGTTATCTATGAGTTTGCAGGCAAAATGTAAGTTAAAAGCTATATTGCTCCAAAGCTGGGTGGGAATAATGAAAGTGGGCCTAATAGGTTTATAGAACAAAAACATAAACACAAAGCACAGTATTTCTGAATACAGCATACTCATTTTCTAATAAGCTGCTCGGCCAACAGCACCGTCCCAACAGTTTGCAGGCAAAATCTAAGTTAAAAGCTATATTGCTCCAAAGCTGGGTGGGAGTAATGAAAGTGGGCCTAATAGGTTTATAGAACAAGAACATAAACACAAAGCACTGTATTTCTGAATACAGCATACTCATTTTCTAATAAGCTGCTCGGCCAACAGCACCGTCCCAAGATACCCCCGAGACCTTATACTTTGAGAATGAAAAGAAAACAGCAGCAGTGGTTTCTCTTCGTGAGGAACTGCTGGACTGCCCCTTGTGAAACAGAAATTCCACCCCAGTTTGTGATACCCACCGAGTCTTTCTGAGAGGGATGTCATACAACCCCCTGAAAATAAGAATAGCAGGAATGCAAGCTCCCCCATAGGATGTGAGGAGAAAATCCTGTTGACTTTAAATCCTCTTTCCCACATTTTAGAACTGATCTGAGAAGCCCCAGGGTGGACTGCATAACATCTAACTTGTTCCTTTCCCCTCCGAGAAGAAAAGCAAAATTAAGGCAGAGATAAATATCAAGGAAGACTTACCTGGTGGACAGGATGGGCTGCTTTATCCATTGCCTCAAGCCACCTGAAAGACAGTAAAATGAAAGGAGCTATCCCGAATGACACATAAGTGTCATTCAGAGGGGCTTGTTTTTGCTGACCCCACTGTGCAGACAGAGCAGTCCTGAGGCTCAGATATGTTTCATTGCTCTAGGTTCATGGTTAAAGGGCAATGCATTCTTGCAAAATTGATGTACTAGGTGGCAAAAATCTCTTCCCCACCAGGCCCCCACTGTGCAGACAGAGCAGTCCTGAGGCTCAGATATGTTTCATTGCTCTAGGTTCATGGTTGAAGGGCAATGCATTCTTGCAAAATTGATGTACTAGGTGGCAAAAATCTCTTCCCCACCAGGCATATTTAAAATAAATCATTCCTATCCTTCTCCTTTACTATAGTAATTAATGCCTGACAGAAAATTCATTCATTCTTTATTTTACCAATGTATATGAATTTACTAACACTGGCAGGGCTGATAACAATTTGTATATTAACGGTAAGGCACTGACTATTAAAATATAGGAAGACTGGTAAAAGCCACTGTCCTGAGACTTTTTCTTAGGTGTTTCTTGGACACAGTGGCCACCTTTAATGCACCATTAGTGACCCTCCTTGAGGAATGAATTTTCTTAGTCTTGCCTCTTTAATAGGCACCAGCCTATCCACCCCACCCCATCGTGCCAATCTTTTACAATTTTCTTTTAAACTCCTAACTTCCAATCACACCGTACTGTTTGCTATTTTTCCCAAAGCTTTATTTATTCCCTCTGCCCTCCTATGTTCCACTTGCTTTTGTATGCTTTACCCAATCCTATGCCATACACTTTGTAAACAGCTCCCTCATCCCCCATCCGGAAACCCAATGTCCCTACGCTCAATTCTTATACCACTCTGCCTCTTCGGTAGCACTTCTCAATTTATATTTTGCATTCAAAATATTAGAATAAATGCCCTATCTTCTTAGTTCAGGACTTTTTTTGCAGTCAAGAATTGGCTCTTCATTATACTAATATAGAAGCTTTAAAACTGTGTCTTGGACATAATAGGTATCCAATAAATTTTTCCTGCATGAATGGAAAATACAATCAAGTCACTATAATCATATTTCCCTGTTTGTCCTCTAAAGAAACATGCATTTGAATACATAATGTTTCACAAATAAGGATTTTCTATTGTTTGCCTAAGAGGCTGCAGACCTAGAACTCCCTTTAAGATTAAAGCTGGGTCCAAATTCTAGTAGAGATGTGCCATTAACACTGAACACTGTTGACCCTTTTTGTAATTGACTCTTTTCCACTTTATCCTACCCCTCACTCTAAATTAGCAATACTTTCACTACAGTTTTCAGTTGACTCACTGGCTTGACCAATGATCTCCATTCCCTCAGGGAGACACGCTGAGTAATGATCATGTTGGCAAACGGTCAGAGCTCACAGGCTACTGTCTTAGAATGCATGCACAGTTCTCTGCTCCTTTTGTGTGCTCACAAAATGTCAGCTGGATTCATTCCCCCACAAAGCTACATTATTACTATTGTTAATTTTGCTCATCTTACTTTTATACCTAAGACTATATACCAATTAACTTAAAATATGTAAATGTGGAAACATTTCATGGTTGTGAACCATGGCAGTACTGATCCTTTTTAGAAAATATGGAGACCTCTTATCCAAGTACTAACTAGGCCTGAACCTGCTTAGCTTCCAAGATCAGAGAAGGAGATCTAAAGTAAGCAAGTTAGCAGAAGATGCTTATGATCTTTGGATAGTCTGTTAGAAAAAAAACCTGAGAGAATAATGAAAAAACAAACCTCATACCTAAGAATAAAACAATTTATTGACTCATGCTATGAATTTGTTGTTCCCTTTCTACTTCTAATCCCAAGAATCTGTAAGGGTGCTGCTGAAGAAGCATTCTCCCACTCAACGTGAAACTGTGAAGATAAAAGATTAATGAATTACCTCTTCATTTCTTGGTTTGAGGGTGCACAGAAGCAAAAAGTCCTATTTCCAGACTGAGGCACACAGTTAAACACAAATGGTTTTCCCAGGCTGCTATCAATGCCAACTTCTGCACCTTCTAATTTTATTACCTCTAGAGGTGGCCATTTTCCTTCATCCTGTAATTGATAAGGAAGATGTTCAGTATGGGCACTATAACTAAACAGATAAGGGAGAAAATGAGAGAAGAAAAGAGAAAAAACTGATTGTTTTTTGGTTCTGAAATAAAAATAACACCAACAACAATTTTTGCAGATTATGTTCTCTATGATATATTCAATTGAATTCCAAATTTTCTATCTATGATATTTTCCCATATCCTTTTGAACAGCTTCTATTAATATGTGTTTTATTAATGCCAACGTGAGAAAGTATCATTAATTATTAGAAAAAAGAACATCAGAAGAAATTGATATCACAAAATACACGTGGTTGGTAGTGACATAACACTTCTAGTTAGTACCTATAATTAATATGTATTAGATGCTTATCAAGTGTCAGGCTTTCTTCTAAATTCTTTACATCTGTTAATTGATTTATTTTCACAATTGCTCATGAGGTAGTTACTCTTATCATCTCCATTTTACAGATCAGGAAACTTCAGCATGGAGAGAATAAAGTGTAGTTTTCTATAAAGGATAGTAGTTCAGTTTAAAATACTATAATATGTATGCAAAACTAAAATTATTTTATAGGTAAATATATTGTCATTTGTGTTTATTTACAATTAAATTTCAAAACACTATGTTCATTATTCATTCCCTTTCTAAAAACATCTGCATTGAGATATAATTTACATACTATGAAAATACTGACCGTACATGTACAATTCAATGATTTTTAGTAAATTTATAGAGTTAGGAAACTATCATTGTCATCCAGTTTTGGAACTTTCCAATAACCCCCAAATTTCCTTTAGCCTGTTTGAGGACAATTATCCTTCCCCCTAACCTCTATCACAGGTAACCAAAAAAATATTTTCTGTCCTTGTACATTTGCCATTTCTGAACATTTCATATACATGGAATCATACAATATGTGGTCTTTTGTGACTGGCTTTTTCACTTAGTGTAATGTTTTTCAAGCTTTATCCATGTTGTAGGACTTACCTGCACTTCATTTCCTTATACTGCTGAATTATATTCTATTGCATGGATATGCCAGATTTTGTTTATCCATTTACAAGTTGAGAGACATTTTTTCTTTCCAGTTTTGGGCTATTTTGAACAATACTTCTATGAACATTGTGTAAAGGTCTTTGTGTGGACATATGCTTTAATTTCTCATTGGTAGATTACTAAGCGAGAGATTTCTGGGTCATATGGTAAGCTTATATTTAACTTCATAAGAAACTGCCAAACTGTCTTTCAAAGTGGCCTCACCATTTTACATTCCCACTAATGGTATATGAGTTTTCCAGATTTTCCACATCCTCACCAATACTCAGTAATGCTTGTCTTTTTGATAGTAGCCATCCTCTGTGTGTAGTGGTATCTCATTGTGGTTTTCAATAGCATTTTTCTACTGACCGATGATGTAAAGCGCCATGTAATGTGCTTATCAACCACTGATATGTCTTTGTTGTTGAAATGTCTCTGGTGAAATGTCTTTCACATATTTATTCCATGAAAAACATTTTTCTGAGCAATCAAATGATAAATGAAAAGGGACACGAATCAGCAAATTTCCCCCGTTTTTTCAAGGAAGAAACTAAGGTTTGATAAGATGCCCCAAGGTTACATAGACAGAAACAGAGATAAAATTTATCCCCTGATCTTCTAGCCCTGCCTTCCCACACTACTTCTATCAAAAGTCTGGTTTCTTGCACCACTGGAATTTGGAGGACTGCTGGCTCTTAGAGTCATCATTTGAGGAGGTGGCATTCAGGAGACAGAGTATCTCCTGACGCCATCAGCTTCACTGGAATACAGACAGAGGTCTAGAGTTCTTATCTGTTTTAGTAAATATCGGAAAGGTAGTGCATGTTATAATAATAGTATATGGCCAATAATATGACACTAGAAACCAGAAGAATATATTTTCATTTGCTTTAATAAGGATAAAGACTTTGCATGCCTATGCAGAGTACTTAATTATTTATATCATTTTCCCAGGAGCATCTAACATGACAAAAAGAAATGAGAAAACATAAATAAAGACTGGAAATTTTATTCTGTTGGTAAGTGACAAGTTTGCTCATATGCTAAGAGCAAATACTCACTGGGTCTGCTTTCCTGTGGACCCATTATACAGATAAGACAATATAATATGTTGGTCTCTCAGTATCAGTGCTGTTAGGTCACTTGGGAACTACCAGTGTGTTCACCCACATCCTTTGCTGCAAGAGAATTCAAAGGAGTTCGCTCACATGTCACATGACACACAACCAAGAATAGTACCTAAAGTCACTTATAAAGCTCTTTCCCCTCTGCTCAAGTTGCAACTGCGTGAGAAGAAATGAATGATTGCAGAATGGACTGGATTAAAAAAAAACGAGGGCTACTATTTCTTACATGGTCTCCCTCATGGCCCAAATTCCATTTTTACTAAACTCAGCTGCTGCCTCATGGCCCCTGCTTAGGAGCCTACTGTGGCCCTGGGACAGCTGCAGTAAAACTAGGGACACAGAGCCTGTGCAGAAGGCGTGGGTGCTCTTACAGCTGTGCTTACTCACCTTACCCTTCTCTCTTGGTTTCACCAGCCCACGCACCGCTAAACTCCACTCTTGTGAAGATACAGGGGTTGGCAAAAGTCTTCTATGTGGTTTAATCCCAAGGCTGCTTGGACTATGGTGCCATATTCCCCAATCAAATGTTTTCTAGAGATGAAAGACAACTAGCATTCTTCTTCTCTTCTACGGCCACACTCTTGGGTTGTTTTTAGCTCCTCCCTTAAAGAAAACTCTGTCCCTCAGTTGGCAATGATTCTTAAATTGGTTCTGTTTGATTTATCCCCTCCAGCTCTGCCAAAAGTCCCTTTAATGTTGATGCTGGGAACAATAAAGATTTCTTTAAGACTCTGGTTTCCCTGCAATTTTATATTCTCCTTTCCATGGCACAGAAAGGCTCCAGCTCCATTTTTCTATTCCTGAGCCATAGATCCAGCTGCTTCTTGTGTGCAGAATTGATTAAAATCACAAGGATGCTAAAGGTATTTATCAAGGAATTGTTTAGTGATATCCAGAAGCTGTAGATTGAGAATGAAGGAATTTGGGTTGTTTTTGCCAGATGGCCTTAGATAATGTTGACATTGTCTAGCATGGAAATAATATCAAAGGTCAGACTGTTCAGAATAGGGAAACGGCAAACAATAATGACAAAAACTCAACTCAGAGAGGATCCACTTCTAAATTAAATTATTTCTTTAAAGGAAAATACAAACAAGGGTGTTTGTGTCTGTCTGCAACTTGGGCTCTCTGTTAAAATAATCTACAGATTTTTAAAAATTATTTGCTTTGGTCAAAATTTTTGGTTTGCAATTTTTTGTTGTTGTTGCTATGCTTCCTTGTCTAAGAAAAGGAAAAAGGCTGGGACATTATACCATTTTGTTTCATTTTATCTGAAGGCACAGCATGGAAATCCACAAACTAAGGAGGGGGGAAAAGGCATCTTTAGTCATGAGAAAGAGCTAATTCTCAGTGAGGAAAAGAGAACCAAGATTAATTTAACAGGAAAAAAATCGTGTCCTAAAGCAAAACACCACATGAAAGGGTGCATGAAATACTCATCTAGAGAGCTATATTTAAAGCTGGAAGGTTGAAGCAAAATTGAGAAATGAGTGTCCCTGAGAGACTTATTAATGATGCTGAGATCCCTTTATCTCTTGGTGGCACTTTGGAGGCACCCCTCACTGTCAGTGATTAAACTATCCCCCTTCTTGATGTCCCTGAGATGATGGTCTCTGTTCATATCATGACTGATAGGATCAGGAAAGCAGCAAAGTGTGTACAGGTAAGAAGGAAGGAAAGATGCACCTAATTTCACTGTAGTGACCTTTGCTATCTTTGTCCTGTGACTAAATAAAGTCTTGACTCTCTAGGGACCATGAGCTCATCACTACACCACTCAAGATAATTTATGTGTATGGGCATTTATGTGTGTATTTTATTTTTGTATTTATGTATGCATGATTTCCTTTCTTCCCTCCCAAATATAAACAAAGAACAGAGAACAGAAAGAAAAATGAGCATGCAAGTCAAAACTTTGTTCATGTATGGGGTTTCCTGTTAAAACTTCATGAGTTTGACATTTCTCTTTTTGCTTTTATCAAAAAATAGAGATGAAGACAATTTCATTGCTCCTAAAGTTGCAGCAACTCTCCAGTCTGCATCGGAGTATGTGAATGAGATACTTCATCCTTAAATATGGTTATGACTCTTACCCTGCTCTTATAAAGATGACTGGCTGCATTTATGATAGCAGCAGAGGTAGCTCACTGGCTGCAAACTCAGAATTTTGTGCTTTTCTTTTTAGTTTGCCTGGAGTGGGGATCATATTTTAGGAGAGATAAGTACATGCTGGCTGCACCACAATGTTTCTTGGCATTGGGAAGGCTCAGGGCTCCAGGAAACAGGCAGCTCTTGGGGCTGAAGGAGTTCATCCACACTGGACCAGCACGTTATGCTATGCCCAGTCAGAAAACAGGTTTCCTGCTGTAAAATTAGCCAAAGGTGGGCATACTAATGGTATTGAGGGCTGAGCTGCCTAGGTTCTACAGCTTTGAGGACACATTTCTGGCCTCAGTCACATGGCTCACTTGTCACCATTTCTTTTGCTCCTAAACTATTCCTTGGAGTATATAACAACTGTCACTTAATACTTTCATTACAACAGAGAGACTGTAAAGTCGTGAAACTGAATCACAGTTATGACCTTGTTAAAAGTTGTTATAAAGTTGCCAGGATAACTGTAAAATGAAGACATTCTGCATCTTAAACTTAATGACTAAATGTTTCTCCTAAGAGGAGTCCTTTTGTTGATGGACTGTAGAGCCAGATGACTGGATTGAACCCTCACTATACCACTTATTAGGTCACTTACATGACCTTGGGCATGTGACTTCATTTCTCTGTGCCTCAGTTTCCTTATCTGGAAGGTAGAGTTGCTATAAGGATTGACTTATAACTTTTACCTTAATGCACTTTTACTTGAGTGTAGAGTGTTCAGAACACTGCCTGGCACTTCGTAAGTGATTCATAAATGTTAGCTTTCATCATTATGTAGAAATTTGAGGAAAGTGAAGAGTGAGAAATTAGGAAAGCAGTTAACCAAGTAGCTTTAACATGAATGGTAGGGTATCTTTATTTAAAGTAAGTTCTTACCTCTGTGTATTTTTTTCCTCTGAGAATTACAGACTGCATGGACAAGAGGATGGGCTTTATCTCTCTGAGATCTTAGTTTCCTCATTTGTAAAATGGGGGTAGCAGCACCTTCCTTTGTGAGGACGAGATCTATCATCTATGTTCAATGAAGGTTGTTTCTTTCCCACATCTGGGTCTGATTTTAGTTTGAGTGAGAATGAAGCATCCCCACAATATCTCTAGGAGTCAGGGAAGCTGTGTAAGAAAAGACCCAGCTTCAGACCAGTGATGGCCATTACTGGGAGGATGGCTGGGCTGGGCTGGGCCAGGCCTGGGGTGGGGGTGGGATGGAGGGAGATGGAAGACTGCATTTTTTTAGCTTGTGAGGG